GATGAAGAAGAAAGGGATGAGCAGGGAAGAGGGAGGGGTCTTAAAGGAGTATGAGAAGGAACTCACTCACTCACTCAACAGCTGATGAGGTTTTGAAAGGGGTTTCCCTTGATGAGGAGATAAAAGGAAGGAAGCACTAAAAGACTAAAGGGAGAAGCTGTCACATACCCAAATAAAGGCCACCATGTGATCTTCCTTCTCTCCCCCCTCAGCAGTTTCTCTCTCTCACACACACACACGCGCGCGCGCGGAAGCAGCCGAAACAAACCAGCACAATATAAATGAGGGAAGAGTGCACTCCTGTCAAAAGGAAGGGCAAAGACAATGTAGATCACACTGACTGCACCCCTTTTCTGTTTTGGAATCATACTTAAGTCAGCTCCATGTGATTGTGATTCTATTTCATCAGCTCCCACTTTTCTCCCCCTCAATTTTCAAGTGCTGTCAAGAATGCAATTTTTTGTAGATTACCATGCGTTCGTTAAATAAGTAGTAAGATCGATGACATGCAAGTAGACAAGGGACAGGTCCATTTGTACAAAATCTTCACCAAAACCAAATGCTTACTGCCTTAACAATGGACAAGGGCTTCTAATGTATATTAAAAAAAAGAGCTCGGCAGGACACCTTTAAGAAATACACATAGCTCAGGGACCAAAAAAATGGTTGACTTCTGGTTATTCAACAAACAAGGGGTTGCTAATCTTATGGCAATGGATGATGTATCCAAACTTAATTGACTCGACTAAGTGCAACATTTATCTCCTATTTCCATCCTTCCCCAATGTGTACTGAGCAGAGGCCACTTGCTACTACTATATATATGAATGGGTTCCCTAAACATTAAATACAGTAAATACGGCTACAGAGGTAACTGGATCTTTTCTTCTGATACTCTTTACCGAAAAAGGGTTTCCCCCACTTTGTATACAAAACAACCAACTGAACCATACAGAGATAGGTGCTGGGGCGGAAGCAGCACAGACACGCCCAAAAGAAACGACAGAGAAAGAGCAAAAGAAACAAATGCCGACAACGACGGATCAACAAAAACGAAGAAGCCTCGCGATCGCTGCGCCCACCGGAATCTACCCCTAGGCTCCAAGACTCCGAAGCGCCGGCACCTATCAACACCTCCAAGAAGGATCGCGACGATGACGACGCTGCTGCCAAGGGTTTCCCCCGGTACACGACGAGGCGAGAGGCAGGGTAGCCCCCGACGCCCTCCCGGAAGGTCAGGTGACACCCTCAGGCGCCACTGCGCCGGTGTCGGCCACGCCGACAGGGGTTTCCCCCGATCCCAACCCGCACCTCGGGCGCTCCGGATCCATCCACCAAACCAACCACCACCCAGCGCCAACGCGGTCATGAGGCCCCCACGCCGTCTCACCACGGCACCACGAAATGAGGGCAGTGCGGCGAAGGATCAGAGCCGGGACTAGGGCATCAGCACCGTCGGCACGCGGGAGGGCCCCACCTCCACCGTCAGCGACGGTAGCCGTCCGGACGCAATAGCAGGAGCACACCAGGCCCGTGGGCCCACAGGCCCGGCCGAGCCCTCGTGGGCCCGTAAAGCTCCCGCCTTCGCGCTGCTGCCGGCACGCCATCGGCGCCGACGCCCCATATCCGAGCCGCTCCTCCTCCTCACCGCGCCGTAGACAACGAGGCCACGCCGGGGGCCAGCCCGCTAGGACCCAGATGGGGCCCGCCGGGCCCAAATCTGGGCCGGGGGCGCGACGTTGGCCACCCAGCACCACCACGCCGCCTCGCCGCCAAGGAGCAGCGCCGCCACCACGTCTGCCGCCGGCCACCCCGCCGGGTCACCGGACCGCCGCCAAGCCGAGCGACGCCGCCGCCGCCCCCCTGCCCCGGGCCAGGAGGACGCGCGCGCGGGGAAGGGAGATCCTGCCGCCGCCGGCACCCCCCGGGCCGGAGCCGGGGGCGCCCGCCGGAGACGGCAGGGGAGAGGGAGAGCGGAGCGAGGCCGAGTGCAGCGGCGCGTGTTGGGGAACGTAGCATAAATTCAAAATTTTCCTACGTGTCACCAAGATCTATCTATGGAGTCATCTAGCAACGAGGGAGGAGTGGATCTACATACCCTTGTAGATCGCGCGCGGAAGCGTTCAAGAGAACGGGGTTGATGGAGTCGTACTCGTCGTGATCCAAATCACCGATGATCCTAGCGCCGAACGGACGGCACCTCCGCGTTCAACACACGTACGGAGCAGCGACGTCTCCTCCTTCTTGATCCAGCAAGGGGGGAGGAGAGGTTGATGGAGATCCAACAACACGACGGCGTGGTGGTGGAAGTAGCGGGATTCCAACAGGGCTTCGCCAAGCGCTGTGGGAGGAGGGAGATGTGTCATGGGAGGGAGAGGGAGGCGCCAGGGCTCAGGTATGGTTGCCCTCCCTTCCCCCCACTATATATAGGGCCAAGGGAGAGGGGGGAGGCGCAGCCTTGGCCCTTCCTCTAAGGAAGGGTGCGGCCAGGGGAGGAGTCCCTCCTCCCCAAGGCACCTCGGAGGTGCCTTCCCCTTTTAGGACTCTTCCTTTCCCTCTTCTCTTGGCGCATGGGCCTCTTGGGGCTGGTGCCCTTGGCCCATATAGGCCAAGGCGCACCCCCTACAGCCCATGTGGCCCCCCGGGGCAGGTGGCCCCACCCGGTGGACCCCCGGAACCCTTCCGGTGGTCCCGGTACAATACCGATGACCCCGAAACTTGTCCCGATGGCCGAAATAGCACTTCCTATATATATAATTCTTTACCTCCGGACCATTCCGGAACTCCTCGTGACGTCCGGGATCTCATCCGGGAATCCGAAGAACTTTCGGGTTACCGCATACAAATATCTCTATAACCCTAGCGTCACCGAACCTTAAGTGTGTAGACCCTACGGGTTCGGGAGACATGCAAATATGACCGAGATGACTCTCCGGTCAATAACCAACAGCGGGATCTGGATACCCATGTTGGCTCCCACATGTTCCACGATGATCTCATCGGATGAACCACGATGTCAAGGACTTAATCAATCCCGCATACAATTCCCTTTGTCTATCGGTATGTTACTTGCCCGAGATTCGATCATCAGTATCTCGATACCTTGTTCAATCTCGTTACCGGCAAGTCTCTTTACTCGTTCCGTAACACATCATCCCGTGATCAACTCCTTGATCACATTGTGCACATTATGATGATGTCCTACCGAGTGGGCCCAGAGATACCTCTCCGTCACACGGAGTGACAAATCACAGTCTCGATTCGTGCCAACCCAACAGACACTTTCGGAGATACCCGTAGTGTACCTTTATAGCCACCCAGTTACGTTGTGACGTTTGGCACACCCAAAGCACTCCTACGGTATCCGGGAGTTGCACAATCTCATGGTCTAAGGAAATGATACTTGACATTAGAAAAGCTTTAGCATACGAACTACACGATCTAGTGCTATGCTTAGGATTGGGTCTTATCCATCACATCATTCTCCCAATGATGTGATCCCGTTATCAACGACATCCAATGTCCATGGTCAGGAAACCGTAACCATCTATTGATCAACGAGCTAGTCAACTAAAGGCTTACTAGGGACATGGTGTTGTCTATGTATCCACACATGTATCTGAGTTTCCTATCAATACAATTCTAGCATGGATAATAAACGATTATCATGAACAAAGAAATATAATAATAACCAATTTATTATTGCCTCTAGGGCATATTTCCAACAGCGCGGGGGGCGCCCCGGCCGCCTCCCGGGGAGGCGGCGCGGGGGCGGAAGGAGGGGAGGGGGAGGAAGGGCGAGGGGAGGGAGGGCTGGATCCGGGCCGCGCGCCGGCAAGGGCGGCCGGATCCCTCCGGCGACGGGTAGGGGGAGGCGGCGGCGGCTAGGGTTGCGGGGACGGGAGCGGGTCGCCGGGAGTTAGATTTAGGATCAGATATTCTCTGATACTCTTTCACATAGTTCGCTATCCTTATTGTTCTTCCTCTGTGATTCACACAAATGTGTATCGTGTGTTTAGCATTGTGTTCATCTAACGCAAATTGCTGCCTAAATGCGAAGAGAATATAATCTAGTTAGATTTCTCCAAAAAAAAGTCAGGTTATTTGCATGTCAAGAATAGAATCCTGGAATAGTGTCAAATAGCTGAAACTGTCTGTCCACAGATGGATGCAAGGTCTTCCAGAAAAAAAACGATAAATACAGAATCGGCAGAGATTTCTTCCAATATGCTCCCTAGCTCACCACCACAGCCTTCCAATCATCATATCACATATGAACGTGTAGTCAATA